TTAAAAGAAACAATGTTAAAGAATTTTAAAAAATACTTTCGTAAATTCCTTCAACAATGATAGATCGATTAACAGTAAAATAAAATATCCCTGTCTGTACTTATCGTACTAAGGATAATGGTATGTTTCACATTGGTCCATCCAAAAATCTCGACAGTCAAAAAGTCAATAACCAAAATACCAGCATGTATTATTTTAATACTTCATTAAGCTTTTCAGTATTAACAAAAAGGAATTGAAATTGGTAATTGTCTGAGTGAAGGGGCCCATGGACGAAGCGATGGAAGAGTTGGGATTACCTCGTGCAATACTGAGAAAGTGTTTTTAAAGTAACTGGGATACCAAATTGATTCAATTATGAATCATTGATTACCTCCAATTTGTATGTTTTCGGGTTATTGGAGAGTAAGATAATTTTTCTCTAATGGTCACGTTGTAAAATAATTCATATAATTAGTAGATTTGATAAAATGACAGAAGAGTCTATAAAATATAAAAGTGAAAAACTATGATATAAAATTTTAAAGTTAGAAAAAGAGGATTTGGAGAAGGAAATATGAAGGAAAAAGAAACGAAAAATAAATAAGAAAGATTAAGAGAAATAAAAATAGAGAAATAGTAAATTCATGAGTGGAGAGCAATGAATAGGAATGTAAGGGAAATGGTCAGGATAAAATACAGAGGGTTAGACAGAGGTGAGGAATTAAATATAAGACTCAAAATGCGCAATACGGCTGAAGTTACTGAAATGGAATTCGTAACAAAGGGCTTGATGCCAAAATACCTGCGTGATAAAAGGGAATTGATATATTATCAGTTTAAGAGTAATTAATGAAAGTAGGGATTGTAAATACTGGACGCAAGAGGAAAAAGGAAGTTGTAGAATTTGTGAAAAGAAAGGAAGGATGTGTTGAAATCAAAGAAATGCTTGAATATGGATAGACGGTGAATGATAGTGGCAGTGATATAAAAACGTTGAGGGAAATTTAAAAAAAAGGGTTTAGTAAATTAAGGAATTATAAGAAAACCTATCAGGACATTATAAAAATAAGGAATGTGCAGAGTATTTTATAGATTACCAAGATAAAAAAATGTGTAAATTTGTAAGCTGATATTTATACATTTAGGATACTATTCTGTTATGTTATTCAGTAATTAATTTTGTAAATATTTGTGTATAAATTTTTATGGTAAACTAACTATTGGTTAAATAGAAGTTTACTGCTAATGAATATGTTTAATTAGTTTGGTCAATTAAGAAGAGATCTCAATCTAAACTTTAGACGGTATCTATCTTTTTATACATTGTCCAAATAAAATTAAGAAGAAAACTCAATCTAAACTTTAGACGGTATCTATCTTTTTATATATTGTCCAAATTATTAATTAGAACGTGATAAAATAATTAGCTGATTGATTTTCAGATATTGTAGTACACGGTATAAATTCGTGCACCCTGTGCACACAAACATTTGAAAATATAGGTACTATACCTAACAACTACATTCTGAAGGCGTGACAGTGATTTAATTATTTATTGTTTTTACGTTCCAATTCAAATAAATGCAAAAATTATGGAAGGTAACCATCTATAAATCGCAATTAAAAAGAACTTACATGAAGGGCGTGTACGAAATTTAAACGCAGTTACGTAAATAAAATATCCATATTTACGTCAAAGGAAATAAGTTTGTGACAACAATACAAAATTAGCACGTACATTTGCATAATGCGAGACACTCGTCGACTTTTGAATTGGTTTTTTTCTTTCCTCAATTTATTGAGTAAAGGTAAATATGTGATTAATAAAATATCGCTAATGGCATTTCAAGTTCAAAAAGAGCTTTCATGTAATCATCTTCAGAAAGTTAAACTGATAAAAATAGAAGCTAAACTTAATCATGCATCCGAAACATATCAAATAGATTCATTAAAGCCCAGCTACAATTTTGTGTAAATAATATTTTACTCGAATATACAACAGCTAAATAATTATTAAAGGACTTTGCAATTATGATAATTAATGTTTATTAAGCGTTTGCGCAAAATTACAAGGGAAAGTATTGCAACTCAACAACGAATGGAAAAAATTTCACTTAATCCATCAGTGGTCACTAGGTGTACCATTAACACATAAAAATGCTTATATGTTTTCTTGATAAGCTACTGCAGTGTAAAATTTATTACAATTATTAAAATTTCAATTTTTTTTAAGTACAATTTCTAAATTTTTAATGTAACGTTATCGTTTTAGATATTTTTCTAAAAACTTGATATCTGAATTTCAGAATGTAGAGATGAAGGGAGATAATTATTGGCATTATTACAAGGTGCTATGGTGGGTTCAGTTTGACAAATCGACGTCCCTACCAAAAATGAACCTAGTAGAGAATTATTGATTCCCACCATAAGAAGAAATTTCTATAGGTATCTATAGTAGTAATACATGCATTGTTTCTACTTATTCACTCGTTTGAATACTCTCAAACTACTGGTATTTTAATGGAGGGTATTTTGACTGAAACGACGAGAAAAATAATCCGAAAGTTTCTTATCTATTAGTTGTAAATACAAAAGGTGACAATGATGTCGAGAAATGTTTCAACCCATCTTCATAACTTGGTTTCATTGGTATGCATTGAACATTTAATTTACAAAGTGTTGTAGTTTTTTGTATACTATCTTACGAAAATTCTCTACAATACAAGTGATAGGACCCTTCAGTTGTTTTAGAAAAAGTTTACATCGCTTTCCTTAAAGCCAGGACTTAATTGACTAAAACCTAGTGGCGGAAATTTGTAAAATTCTGCGTTCAAATTTTTATATTTTAATAAATTAATTAATAAATGTAGATAATCCAAATTCTGATAAAATAAGTACAATAAAAGTAAATATAAATCCAACACCAATTCGGCGTTCGCTGAATATACAACAGAATGTTCCACGTTATTTCACAGACCAACAAATTACCTGCGCCCAGAAAATACATACAGTGTGCATTTAATCGGTAATGTCCTACTCAAATGAAGAAGTTTCTCTTAACTTTCACATTCTTTTTTCTCCCACAACATTAAAATTTCTTTTATTTCTTCGACGTACGTTAACGAACAAGACGATCTTTCCAAGTTCATCAGTTATAAAAAAGCTCAGTAAATAAAGATTGCTGACTATAATTTTCATTTTCATACTTTACATTGAAATATGTTATTATTTATAGTTCAAAAATTCAGTTCTTGGATAATGAGAGTTTTTACTGATGATTACTTTTGATGTATTTCAACTGCGCGTGCAAATGAGAGGTTTTACTGCAAAATTAAAATCGTCATCAAAAAAGCTACAAAAATGGTAATAAAGTCAAATAAACATTTTTTAAACTCGAAAACCTAAATTAGGTATTAAGTATTTAGCATACTTAAACAAGACGAATGACCATACAACACAGACATAAATAAAAAGTCTGGTAAACAAAACACTTGAAATCAGTTTTGAATTTTGGCAACTTTCTTTGGCCTATTTTCACAGCAGCTTCAACGAATATTAAAATAAATGTTAAAAACAAAAGAAGAATAAGAGGAGAATGAAAATTAGAAGAAAAGTACTGTACAATATTATCATGAAAAATAGAAATTCCTTAAGAAAAATTGTGATATAGTTACGTAATTCCTTTTTTTAATTTCTATTAAAAACAAGGCTAAAAGCAGATGATGAATACGAAGACAATTAAATAAATGCAACATTAGAAAACAAATAAGGAAAGGAAAATTTCCTATGAAATTCGATGATTTTTGAAATAAAAACCGAGTACCAAATTCAAAACTAAAAATTTGAAAAAATTGGTCAACCAAAATCTTATATATATAAAAATGAATTTCTGTTCGTTAGTCTCGCTAAAACTCGAGAACGGATGGACCAATTTGGCTAATTTTGATCTTGAATTATTTGTGGAAGTCCAGAGAAGGTTTGAAAAGTGAGTAAATATGAAAGCTGTTAACTACCTTTCAGATTATTTTTATGTAGATTGATAAATCTTAACTTTCGTCACAAATTAAATTTCTGAACGCAACCATAATATTTGACATTTAATAACCAACTAATATGTCGATCCATCCTCTATGTATTATGAATTCCTTTTGCTTGTTTATTTTATACAAAAGTTTAGGTCTTTTATTTATCGATTGAAGCAGTACGAAGTCTGCCGGGTCAGCTAGTAATAAATAAAAATAAAAGCTAGCGAATCCCAATTAAGAATTTCAACATACATATGTTAATTTGGCTTGTAACAAAATTCTCGCCGCAATTTGATAACAATGATGCCTGATTATAGTAATCCTAAAAAATGAAAAATTAAAGGATTACTTTTTGGAATAAATATTCCTAACCTTACTGACCTTAAGTATTACAATTGGTAAATTAAAGCTCTGAAGCAAACAATTCATAATAACCTTTTGCAGGCAAAGCTTTCTTATAGCGTTTTGCTTTTTTCGTAAGGCTAAAAAAGGCAAAACAAGCAAGCAACATATTGTAACAAAATTCACTTTTTTTTAGCAAATGTGAATTTGTGACGCCATAATATATTGTATCTACCAATTCCTGTTAAAAATACTGTAATTGTTTTAACATTAATAAATATATTAAATTTTTAGATCTTCCAATTCGAACATTAATGGTCTCGAATCTTTGGAGACCATCTTAGCGATGAACATCAAATTTCTTTTGATAAAAGCATGAAAAAGCCACAATTTCACCATCTAAATACATTAACTAAAACTTTCAGCGTCACAAATACCATTATAATCCCCATTTTTATTTTTCATTAAGAAAAAAGTATTTCTAATAGCTCCCGCTGAATATGTTATAACTTAATACAAAACAATAGTACAATAGGTAACAAATGAAGCTAAGAATTTGCACAACATATACCAATACAGGAACCTTTAAAAATACTTGCTATTGAAAGTACATGAAAATGGAAAACGCCTAAGCAATAAGCAACGAAAAAGTATGTAATAAAAGATTTATTTATACACTTAAATAATAATTGTGCATACATGTCGACCCCGAAACAAGCATGTACATATCTATGTATAAATAAAAAAGTGACATATATACTGAAATGGTTTTGCAGTTGAGTATGATGCAACGATTTTATTCTTCATTGTTGTGTTATTGAATTTGTACTATGCAAGTCATAATTGGGCCACACAATCTGCAATGTTCTGTCACACGAATTGTTTAGATTCATTGCATCATAATCGGTGAAAGCTGCATGATACGTAGCAAACGCATGATGGTGCACTTTTAATATTATACTTAATAAAAGCTCTAAGACTGTTTGATAGAAGTACCAGGTACTAAAAACGTTGAAACTGGAACGTATGTCAACAGCTTGTTTGCTATGCTTTGGAAAACTGTGGCAAGCTTCCGAGTCAACTGGGGACTCATTATCTTTAAAACTTCATGGCCATTTTCACGAAGAAACAGGTTGGTCGCCTCAGCTGAAAAAGAATTTATTTATTTGAAAATACTCACAAAATATGAAAACAATCTAATCAAATCCAATCAAAGCTAATCTTTGAATTTCCCTAAAACTAGAATATCCCACAACTATTTGCGAACAGTAATATAATCTAGGTCTACCCCTACTCCTTCCGTTTCTTGCATACCAATATCCTTGTTTTACTTTTATTTATTTTCATACAATAGTGTTTTTTTCAATACTGCTTCCCTTTTATTTAAAGCTGTCTCTAACTCATCCTTGCTAGATGTTACTACTGCTATATCATCTGCAAATCTAAGCATACTACTCATTTGACCCTCTATATATATTCCTACAGTTGTACTGTCTTTATTGATATAGATCGCCTCTTCGATTTATAGATCAAAAAGTAGCGGTGACAGTGTGCATCCTTGTCTGACTCTCTTTTTAATATTTACTAAATATCACTCTTCTATCTCTGTAACTCGTCCCTACATTTTTGAGTATATTTAACATTTTGTTCGATATAACATTGTCAAAAGCTTTTACTAAATATTCAAATCCTATGTATGCGCTCTTTCCTTTTTCTATCCTTTTCTCTATTCTTACCCGTAAAGCTAGAATGACCTCCCGCGTTCCTCTATTTCTTCTAAACCCAAATTGATCTACCAAATTAAACAGGTCAAGTTTTGCAATACATAGTTACATCACTCCGATGTTATTGGTAAGTTCATTCTTACGTTATTGGTAAATTCACTTACGGTTAGAAATTTAGAAGGTTAGGGTAGATAAAAGTTCCCCCTCCCGTAAAAAAAAATAATCAAGGAGATCGAGCAGCATGATCGAGAGGAATAGAACATTCCGTAGCATTTTGGGTTCCGGTTCCGTCTACTCCTGTCCAAATTTTTCTATGGCAAATACTGGGGCAGTAATATTCCAAAGATAATCTTACTCTTTTCTATCTTCATTTCTCATATTTAACACCCAGTCATTCCCACGAGTCTCTAAAGAAGGTATTCCGCCCTGCCCTTCGACGTAGTTCGGAGAGACTGTTCGCCCAGCAGTATTAGCAGCTCGTGAGAGTTAAACACCCAAAGTTCAAAGTTTCTTTCAAGAAGACGCTAAACTTATGGTCGGAGAGTAATATGTTCTAAACGATAGTGACAGGAATGAATTTGGCTTTACCTTTTAATATAACGTACGAATTTTTAAGATCCCCCCTCCCCTGTAATTAAAGACCTGTAGATCTCACCTTCTCTGTAAGTTATACAGTATGATACTCCAATTTTTGTGAAATTTAGGAATATTAATTTTTTGGAGTGTTTTTGAACTAGCAATATACAAAAATTAAATAAATATAAAATGTACAATTATTTTATACTCACTTAGAAGTCTGTTGTTCCCAAAAACTTTAGTCACACCCATGTTAACTTTACCCACCAAGAGATCGATGTTGAGACTGTCGACGTTCAAGTACCGATTATTATCGCTCTTGGAATTAAAACTTGTGGTCCCTTTCACTGTTGCCAATATATTTTCTGAAATATCAAACAATTTGAAAGTGAAATACACAAGTTTTATCAAAACCTGAAACGTACCAAACTTTGCGTGAAATGTTCCATTTCCACTAGCTGGAAGGATGATAAGAATCCCTGAACTTCTGTATTTTGAATCTATCCTCAAGCTTGGAATTCTTATTTTACCTTCGAAAGGTTGATTCTTTTCTCCTAATCTAAAACAGTTTTCCTACTTTATACAACAACTGTTTTGAAAACATGAAAACCAAAGACTTTTAAAGTATGTACTATTAACCATTTACATTAAACTAATTACAAATTTCTTTGGTGATTGTGCAGGGTATCTTTCAGTTCCTGATTTACCACATATCGACGATTGGAAGGTTTATCTGATTCAGAGAGATCTTCCGAAACTTCCAGAACCATCCTCTGAATCGGACAAACCTACAGAACCATAGCATAACCTACAAGGGGCCAAGAAAATATTCTTGTCTCTTTAATAAACCATTAATAAAATTTTTAGGACGATTTTAAGTTGGAGCCCCACTTCTGCACAATAACCTACTGTACCATCAATTTCACCTGAATGTATGAGACGGCAAATACTCAAACTCACTTACAAATGCCTTTATATAGCTTCCAAAATATCGTTATGGCCTTAGCATGATTTCTATTACAGAATTACAAATATTAAGTTTCAATTATCCTTGCAGTGATAATGTAATGATGGAATGATCCCAAGCATATCAATGCAATTATGATTATTTAACAATAATAATGTAATAACTACCTTATTTTAGTAACCGTGAAGTTACTTGCTCCGTAAATGTCTATATCCGCGAGGGTCACTTTGAAGCCACTGGGTCCACCAGTCAGAGACAACGAGAGCTCGTCCATACGAAACGGTTCAACTGAAGGTAGCTCGATTTCCGTTATTCCAGTGGCTAAATAGGGCCGTAAATGATGAAGGGCACTTATGAAGCACTCCATCAATTTTGGATCTGCCTCGTGACATTGCTTCACGTACGGTGCTGTCAAAGAAACGCATTTCAAAAGGACAGTTTTAACAATAAGTGCACCGCTGACTCTCGTTTTAATTTCCAGCATTAAATTAAACAATTTACTAGCTATTGTCAAAGTAAAAGATGTCAAAAAATGACGACAGAATATGTGACTCATAATTAATGTCATTTATTATCTACTTTAATAATAGGATAGGTACGTATTATAGGGCTTAGATGGTACCTAATAAAATTGTATTAAAAATTGGTCTGAGCACAGTTTGGTCGGTGCTAATACGACTAACTTCCCATTAGATAATACAGTTATTGTAAAGTACATTCGTTTCTAAAGTTTGAAAAAAACGCGGCACAATAATAAATAACAAACAATGTTTGAGAGTTCGTCATTTTATAAACCCATAAGAAACAGTATTTCGTCTGAGAAAACCGAATTGATAGAGTACTTGCATCAGTCAATTGGTAAATACTATTTTTTATTGTTTATCGATTGTTTATAACAATTCATTTTGTTATAAACAAATTTTTATTATAATATGTTATTATAATATGTTATTCCCTGTCTTGAATAATGATATTTCGTTATTATTGATTCCGTAACTTCATTGTTGTGATTAGATTAGAACGTATTTTAATTAAATTGTTTGTAATTAATTCGTTTTTTTTTTTATAAAAAAAAAACGGCTTGACCGATTTCGTTCAAATTTCTTTCAGATCTTCATTATGATAATATCTTTCGAAAAAATTTTGGTTGAGGGCGATATCTCAATCCGTTCTTGAGATATCGAAAACGAAAAAAATGCTGACATACGAACGTACGTACATACGTAC